TTCTATAAAATTAATATTAATGTTAAATTTTTATATATTTATAATAAAAAAACATTTTTAACATACGTCGTTAAAAAACTTTTATGTAAATTGTTAGAAGAGCCCCAAGTATGTGTTACATTGTGAAGGCTTCTTGATTGCAAGTTTGCCTAATCTCTATGATCAAAATGTTTATTGTGGTGGAACTTAGAGTATGTGTTACGTTGTGACTTAAATAAAGCCTTTGTACAACATGTCTGGAGTGGAAATGGCAGAAAACTGAGAAGGTATTGGGAAGTCATCTAGTTTGTGATGTTATGGACTATTTATCTAAGCAGAAATGAGCAAGTTTTTAAAGGAACTGTGGCAACTGTGGATCGTAGTTTTGGGCTACTTCAAGCAAGGGCATTTCACCGGATTAATAGAAGAGGTGGAGGCTGGAATGCCTTTTTCATGGATTGGTGTACCAAACCAGGTGATTGCAGTAAACCATCGCTGGGTGGTAGGATGAGAAAGGGATAATTGGAGGGTTTATGTTGATTAAAAAAAGTAAAAAGTTTTTAGTTCTCTTAAAGTTGGTAATGAAATACACCACCTTAATAATATGTGACATGTGTAATTGATATATATGAGTACCCTTTATATTCTAAATAAATAAATTTTTTACCTTAAAAAAAAAAAAGAAAAAGAAAGAAGAAGAGCCCCTAATACTCTACCGGTAATAAATTAGTTTTTGCCATTCGAAAAAACATATTGAAAAGTAAATTAAATAGGAATCACCATGAAGGTGTCTACCTGCCTAAAGTCAATTGTGACGACAGAGTAAAATCCATCGGCCGGTGTCAGTGTGATATTGTCAAAACGTGGGAGTTGAAGATGCCAAAGCTCCAACGGCAATATGTGGGTAGGAAAAAAAATGTTAAAAATAAGGTTACATGTTTGTTTTAGTCTCTTAATTTTAGAGATGTTTACAATTTTTATGTTTTAATTTTTTTACACTTTTCTTGTCCTTCAACTTTAAAAATATAATTTTTTCGTTTTTCTATCAGTTAATTTATTAAATCTGTTTATATATACACTATTTTAGAAATTAAAAATATGCCTATAATATAAATTTAGGAATTAAAAATACATATTTAAATAAACTTAATGAACAAAATGACAAAAACAGTACATTTTTCAGAATTAAGAGATGATAAAAGTGTAAAAAAGTTGAGAATGAAAATTGTGCAAAATCCTAAATTTAAAGGACTAAAATTGACATTTAACCTAAATATATATAACAAAAAATTTTGACTGAATTAGAGCTAAACTTGTATTAATTTGATGTGCGCAAACTGAAAATTGAAACAAAACTAACTGGAGGAAGAAAAATGCATTTCCTTCCTCTATACGAGCCTCCTAGAAGGCTATAAAGATGGTAGGTAAATGTTGGGAATGCAGTTTCTTTACTAGTAAGATGATTTGGTGCATAATCTGCTATGGCTTTTACGTTACAGAATTGAAATATCCACAAGCGCCTGCATTTTTCATGGCTTCTTCTCTTGACCCAAATGGGATTGATTGCCGGTAATAACATTGCTCAATTATAATATATATATATATATATAAAAATTAGACTTAAAAATTAATCCAAACAACAAGCGGCCTTATATAATTAAATTTTTTTAATGGAAAAAAGTGGTTTGTGCTTAAAAGTAAAAAGATATTACATCATATTATGTATTGTGTAATGTACTGAATCAAAAAGTATACCAACAATGTCTTATATATATATATATATATCATGGCACTATAACCTAACATTGAAATATAACTTACAATATAAGTTACATATTTAAACTATGTTTATGATAAATCTAAACAATTAAGTATAGATAGAGAGTCATCTACAAAGACAGATTAAAAGCAATCACTATATGAGCAAAAACAAAGTTATCTAGGTAGGAGGATTATCCTAGTAAGTAATCAAAGCTTCTAGAAAATCCTAGGGTGTGTTTGGAATTATTGTGAAGTGCTATGACTGTAACTGTGGCTGTACTTAACTGTGATTATATTATATTGTAACTGTGGTTGAAAGTTATTTTAGTGTTTGGTTAATTATTTTTTAAAAGTATTATAGATGAAATATGATAGATTTTATTAATTATTAATTAAAATTTAAAAAATATCGTAAGATATATAATTATTAAAATATATAATATTTATTATTTTTTAATAA